AAAAAAAAAAAAAAAAAAAAATTAAACTTGAGATGGGCATGGTAGCACACACTTTTGCTTTCAGTACTTGGAAGCAGTAGACAGATCTCTTTATGTGTTTAAGGTCAACCTGGTCTACATACTGAGTTCCAGCTAGCTGACACTACATAGTGGAGTAACAAATAACAAAACAGAAAAGAAAAACCTCCAGATGTTTTGGCACACACCTTTAAACCCAGCACTTGGGAGGCAGAAGCAGGCCAATATCTTGAGTTTGAGAGCAGCCAGGGCTACAGAGAGAAACCTTGTTTTAAAAAGCCAAAATAATAATAAATAATAAATAATAATATATAAACCTACCCAAAGAGGCCAGAAGAGGGCATAGGATTCCCTGAAACGGGAGTTACAGGTGGTTGTGAGTGGTTCTGGGTACCAACCCAGGTCTTCTGCAAAAGCAGTAAGTGCTATTAACCACTGAAACATCTCTCTAGCCCTAAATAGTACATTTTAGATGAGGGGAGTCTTAATTTAAAAAAAAAAAAAAAAAAAAAGCTATAATGGAGAGTAGACTTTATATACCAGAACCATCTAGATGTACTTTGTGAGGAGTTTAACAGATAAATATAACTTATAAGATTTAATGACCATCTTGGGGCAAATTCACAAAATATAATATTTATGCTCCTCATTAACTTGTTTTTGTTAAGTGTTCTTGTGCTTCTTAGGTATAAATTAAGGCTAAGAATAGAAGCTATTTAGAACTATATAGTGAGCAAAACCTCTGCACCCTCAGTTGAAAAGGGCAAGAGCATGTTCTTCTGAGTACCTCTCTTGGTCAGCCAACGTCAGAAGACCTTAATATGATCTGTCTCAAATGGTCCATCTCAAATGAAGAAACTGTCAATGGTTTAAAAGGTCATTTTAGTAGAATGTCATATCATTAGAAATAATAAGAACCCAGAGAATGTCTTTATGAACTTAAGACTTATAAGCCCCCAGTTTGAAAGCTATTGTTTTAATCCATTTCTTCAGTTCTTAATATTACTTTACTACCTATATTTAATACAGTAAACTTACCTTTCCCGTGGGATAATAACAAATAACTATCTGACCTTAAAACATTCCAGTGAAGCAAAAATACAGTCTTCTCAGATCCTAGCCGCACTTGTCTCCCACATTAGCCGGTTGTGAGAGCTAGGTGAAGAGCAGCAGGTGTGACTTTATGAAGTCTACTCTAGATTAAAAGTCACCATGTTTCACCATGTTGCTGGAGCAAAATTGGACGTCCACCCAGGATTTGAAGTTCTGATATAAAATTTCAGAGCAGGTGATCTAAGACGGACTTTGGTGTAGATCCGGTGGCTTTTAGGAGTGGTTATAGGATTTGGCTGACTGGCTCTTCTTCCTCCAGGAGGTGCAGCCATGAAAGCTGGTGTGAAAGAGGGTGACCGGATCATCAAAGTGAGTAAACTTGACCTCTCCTCCATCTTACAGTGGTAGCAGGTTCAGGGGCTGCCTAGTGATTTGGCCTATCTTGTATTTTATTTCAGTACTAACACTGGCAGCCAATAAATCAGGGTGGGATTTATTGGAGGGATGAAGACAGCTGGCTTTGAGGTTCTAGGCTCCTAACCTTTAAGTTCTCTGGAATAGCTTTTATTTATCCATACTTCACAAAATACAAAAAATAAGGTTAAGAGGAAGCAGCTGTGGCCTTCGGGTTCTTACCTTAGTCTGTCCTCACAAAGTGCTGACATGAGAGAGTCTTCTGAATGTAGGTCTGGCTTTGCAAAATGGAGTCCTGACTTAAAGAAGTCCTAGCTGCAGAGACTTCTTCTCCAGTAAGGAAGAAGCCCATAGGGCCAGTAAATACACACAGGTGTAACTGAAAAACATTCATGGATGGAGGCACGGGTCTTCTCCCTGAAAACTTAGAAGCCAGTTTGGAACAAACTGACAGTGTGAATTTGAGTAAACACATAACCAGAGGTAACTAAAAGCATTGGGAAATGACTTCCTAGAGAAATAGCATTTTAGACTTGGAAAAAGCTTTCCAGCACTGTTACTCAATATTATTTGTCCCTTCAACAGGTGAACGGCACCATGGTGACCAATAGCTCACACCTGGAGGTGGTGAAGCTTATCAAATGTGAGTTGGTTAGGGCATACCAACTAAAGAAAATAGACTTGGTGGATTCTGGGACAAATTGGCAGGTTTACTGACCTGAGAGGCTTCATTTGTAGGTAGATAATGAGGCAGCTGAAATCTTTAGTCTTAACATGAATGATCAGCTTAAACTGCTGCAGAGCCCCAGTATGATGTCAAGTAGCGGCACTATTAGTCTCCCAATAGATAGCTTCATTTTTAGCACACCATCATTGCCACCACTCCTGGCCATATTCTACTAAGACCACATTTCATTTAAATGTCATTCTGTTCCATTCACATCTTCCTTATTAACTTCCAAAGGAGGCAGAAGAGGGCCGAAAATACTCTAGCCAGGAATACCTAACAAGTGAGCCTATACAGATAATCAAATAGAAGCAACAATATTAAGGAAGCAAATAAAGCAGGTGGGAATCTTGGGAGAATGGAGTTTGAGTGGCTGTTGTGTACCAGACAGGGAGTGTGCTAGGCTTTACATTGGTTCAAAGTTCAGTGAGCTTAAGAAGGAAGCTGGGCATGGTAGTGCACCCACACAACCCCAGTGCCTAAACTGAGGGAGGAGGATCTTGAGTTTAAGGCCATTCTTGGCTACATTGAAAGACTACCTTGAGCTGGGCAGTGGTGGCACACACTAGTCCCAGCACTCAGGAGGAAGAGGCAGATGGATCTCTGAGTTCAAGGCCAGCCTGGTCTACAGAGCTAGTTCCAGGACAGCCAGAGCTATATTCAAAACAAAACAAAACTATCTTGGTGGTGGTGGGGGGGGGACAGACTACATTGAAAAAGCAAAAGGGGGGGGGGAGGGTTGGGTGAGGTGGCCATAGGGAGTGTTTCCAGAGTCATTTATGAGTGGAATTTTGGTTGAGGTCTCTGTAAAAGATTGAGAACTTGGTTGGTGCAGGGCAAGAGGGCAGAAATTAGAAAATGGCTAAAACTAAAAGGAGGAGATTTTAATCTGTAGGATTGTGGGACTTAAAGAAAGGAGAAAAATAATTTTCTTTGTGGTTTAAGTAACTCCTCTTCTTGAACAGTGGCATTCAAGTAAGCCTCTTTTTCTTTTCTTCTAGCTGGTGCTTACGTTGCACTTACCCTCCTGGGCTCTTCTCCTTCCTCCATTGGTGTCTCTGGGCTCCAGCAGAACCCATCTCTGGCAGGAATACCCAGAGTTAACCCCATGATTCCTCCACCACCTCCTCCTCCACCCTTGCCACCTCCACAACACATTACAGGACCCAAACCTCTGCAGGTAATAGTTTTCCTGATGCCTACTGATCACTCTAGGCCCTAGAGTCTGGAGACTCTTTGAAGATCTCCCTCAGTGGAACTTAAATTGAGTGGGCTGTGGTAAGCAGAGATAGGCCATAGAGACATGTGAATACCACCAAAAAGTTAAACAAAAATGAAGTCTGCATAAAAGGATGTTCATACCTTAGTGTCCTACTCCTTTGTGAATGCATATGAGGCTTTACAATAGCATCCTCACTGTGTGAAGACTCTCAGAGGGCACCTACCTGGGCCCCAGGCACGGAGAGAAGCATCCTTTAGAGATTGTTGCCAGTTGGTGTTGGGAGGGTGTGCTTGAAAGTCCAAGAGGAAGAGACTGGCTTTCCAGAGCAAAAGGGGTTCCTGGAAGAGTGAACTGTGGTGGACAATCAATAAAGGAGAGAGTCAGAAAGAAGAAAAATAGGTAGTTCTCAAGAGTAGAAAAGCCCATGTGAAGGAAGACTTGAAAGAGGGCAAGATGAAGAGATGTGTAAGGAACAGGATTCTAGGTTGAATAGAAGACTGAACCAGTTCTTTGAGAATTTAGAAAATAATTCAGTATTAAAGCTGATTACAGCCAGGGTATCTAAGAAGTTCAGTAGTTTAAAAAAAAAAAAAAGATTGCATGTTTATTGCATGCTAGCAAGGCATTGAGTTCTCCAGAATGTGCTCCTATTTGGGGTTTACTCTCAGCAGCTTTCCTCACTCCCCAGGTCTCACTGCTGTCATGTTTCCATTCCTAGGATCCTGAAGTTCAAAAGCATGCCACCCAAATCCTCAGGAATATGCTGAGACAGGAGGAGAAAGAGTTACAGGTGAGATCACTGTGAAGGATAGCCCGGCCTTTACCTTGGTGAAGGAATCTCTAGCGGTCTGCCAGTGTGTGCAACTGAATTTTGTAGACCATATCCAATTAGAGTAAAACATGTGGTAGAACACATACTTGAGACCCTAGGTTCAATCCCCAGCAAACAAAAGTACTGCCTCAAGACCATTAAAGACCAGGACAGGCACCAAAGCTACTCAGAGAAACCCTGTCTCAAAAAACAAAAAACAAAAACAAATAAACAAAAACTAAAGAGTTGCCTTTGGTCAACAGAGTTTGTTTTTTTTTTTTTTTTTTTTTTTTGGTTTTTCGAGACAGGGTTTCTCTGCGTATCTTTGCGCCTTTCCTGGAGCTCACTTGGTAGCCCAGGCTGGCCTCGAACTCACAGAGATCCGCCTGGCTCTGCCTCCCGAGTGCTGGGATTAAAGGCGTGCGCCACCACCGCCCGGCGGTCAACAGAGTTTGTTAAAGCAGACCAGTGGAGTGAGTAGGATAGCAGAATCCGTGACTAATACATTAGGATGATGGCTGTGCTAACTAATGACAAATAAATAAACAGACGAAAAGGAGGGCTAGTAGAACTCAGGAAAATTGATGTTCACTGGAATAGTTCTTAAGAGGATTCCAAGGAGGAGAAAGGTAAGCATGGGAGATAGGGATGGGCAGATGAACGCTGGGCTAGACTGATGAGGGAGAGGATGAAGAGAGATTGCCAGTCTAGGAAGTGATGGGCACAGAGTCCAAGAAGATTAATTTGGCTGGAATAGGTCACTCTATAAGAACTTAATATGTATAAAACATCGTTTTAGTTCCTGTGGTATATAAAAATGGAGATGAGGTAGTTCCTCCCTTCAGTGGGCCTCAAATCTAATGGGGGAAATTTCAAATTCTAGTAAGAGGAAAGTAGGAAGAACAAAGAGTCTGTAATAAAAACGTTACCGTGGCATGTAAAAGCTTCACAGTAGAAATGGTGTTTGGTGGGGTTTGGAAGAGTGGACTTTAGATAAAAAGAAGGGGGTAGCCAGGATGATAGCACATACCTTTAATTCCAACACTTAGAAAAGAGAAGTAAGTGGACCTCTGTGAATTTGAGGCCTGCCTGGTCTACATAGAAGTTTCAGGCCAACCATGGCTGCAAAGAGGGACCCTGACTCAAAAATAAACAAAATTTAAAAGAAAAAAAATATTTGAGGGCATTGTTAGTGAAGAAACAGTTTAGGTCAAACTGGAGTTGTGAAAACACACTTAATAAGCATTGTGTTCTTGCAGTGTGCTAAGTATTCCATAGAGCAATGAGTGGGGGTGACCTTAGAGGTAGGAGTGGGATGGTTGCAGAGATAAATGAGAGATGTACCTTTCCTTTAAGAAGTTTCAGTAATACCAAAGGACATGATGGAGTAAATGAAGATATACTACATCATAAAGTGTTACTTATATACTCACATTGGATTACTAAGACACTGTCACAATATAAGGCTAGACATACAAGTCAATGGACTAGAATTCAGAGCTCTGAAATTAATCTATACATTTACAGCAGCTTGTTTTCAACAGTGGTACTAGGACTATTCAGTAGTGTTTGTCTTGTCAACAAATGGTACTAGATCAACTGGATATCTACAAACAAAGAATTAATCTGTACCCTTATGTCACATAATTAACAAAATTTAATTAAAAATAGATTAATAAAATCTCAATAAATAAGCGCATAAAACTCAAGATGGAGAAAGGGGGGCTTGATCTGAACTGAACATGCACAGATGTTTTTCTTGTCATTATTTCTTCAGTACCGTATGTACAGAGCATTTCCATTATGTTAGATATAAATAACAAAGAAAGGAAAATATTAAACTTTTAGAAGGAAACATGAGTATGAATCATCATAACCTTGGATTAACCAGTGGTTTCTTTATGGTACTAAAAGTACAAGCATTCCCCAAAAAAAGATAATTGGATATCACCAAAATTAAAACGTTTGTGTATAAAGAAATAAAATAAAAAATAAACAGAAGGGCAGCTCACAGAATAGAAGAAGTATTTCACAATCATATATCTATTAAGGGTCTTATTACCTTAGAATATGTAAAGAACTCTTCCACTTCAAGAATGAAAAGACAAATAACAGGACTGGAGAAATGGCTCAGATACTAAGAGCACTGGCTGTTCTTCCAGAGGACCCAGGTTCAACTCACAACACCCACATGGCAGCTCTCAACTGTCTAGATCTAACTCCAGCTCCAGGGGATCCAATGTTCTCTCTGACCTTAGTGGGCTCTTCATATATGTGGTACTCAGACACACATGCAGGCACAATACCCTTACACATAAAATAAAAAAAAAAAAAAAAAAGACAACACAGTTAAAAATTTGACAAGAGGTATGATGTTTTCCAGTGGTTAGAATGTTTGCCTAGATCCCGAATTCAATTCCTACTCATCACTAGAAGCAAGCCAACAACGACCAAATTAAAAAAAAAAAAAAAAAAAAATATGTAGGAAGCTGACTAATTCAAAATGGTATTTGAATATTTTAGATATTTTTATAAGCTTTGTTCTTTTTGAAGTGTTTTTATTATTTTTTTAAGAGTGTGTGTGTTCAGGTCCCTCAAAGTCCAGAAGAGGGTGTCAGATCCTCTCTCCGGCCCCATAAGCTTTGTTCTTATACTAAATAAAATGAGCCAAGAATTTGAATAGTTCTCTAAAGAAAACACAAGTCAGGCATTGTGACATATACCTGTAATTCCAACACTTGAAATCTGAGGCAGGATCGCAATTTGGAGGCCAGCGTAGATTATGTAGTGAAAAACAGCCCTAAAAATAACAAAGAACTACAAATGGCCGATAAGCATGTGAAAAGATGGGGAACTGCTTCTCAAAACGACAAGATACTAGGACTTTTATAGCCAGAATAATGGAAAGTTGCATGCTGTTAAGAGTTGTAGACAAACCTGAGAAGTACTTGTTTATGTTCTGTCTGCAAGCTCATTATCTAATCTATTTGCATCACTGATGGTGGGAATATAAAATATACAGTCACAGGGAAACATTACACAGTTCTTCCCGATGTTAAACACAGATACTGTGTAACCCAATAAATCCACTCCTAGATAGGGACCAAGAAGAACTGAAAATACATATTCACACAAAATTTGTACATGAACATTCATGACAACTATCTCTGTAACAGCCAAAAGGAAACAACCTAGAGTCTATCAACTGATAGAAAAATGTGGTATATTTATAACACGGTAGGATATTTAGCCATAAAAAATAATGGAGTACTGATACATGCTATAAGTGGAAGAACCCTGAAGGCATACTAAATGAAGGAGGACAGACAAACGTTCACAAATGTTGCAGTTCCATCTATATGGGATGTCCAGAATAGGCAAATGCTCAAAGACAGAGTAGTTTAAATAAGTTTTAATTATATGAATTATATCTTAATGACAAACTTGAAAATAATTTTGGGCACCGTGGAATCCTGAAAGCATGAGTGATTTATGCAGTTCCTATCAAAGCTTTCAGGAGGTGACAGTTGAGTGGCTTCAGTCCACTGTGACCAAAACACTGAAGTAACAGTGCAGGACAGTGACTGGGAAGTGATTCAGGTCACTTAAAGATCTTGGAGTTGCTGCTAAAGACTGTGGGAATTGATCAAAGATTTTCAAAGCAATCTTCTTAAGAGATGTGTGGTTTTGGAGCTGGAGAGATGATTCTGCCGTTAAGAGTACTTAAGGGGGGCCTGGAGAGATGGTCCTGAGTTTAATTCCCAGCAACCACATGGTGGCTCACAACCATCTGTAATGAGATCTGGTGCCCTCTTCTGACCTGCAGGATACATGCAGACATTACACTGTATATATAATAAATAAATAAAGAAATCTTTGGGGGGGGAAAAGAATACTTAAGGGTACTTGCCGCTCTTGCAGAGGACCAGAGCTCAGTTCCCAGCATCCACACTGGGCCACTCACAATTGCCTGTAACTCCCTTTTCAAGGTACCGGATGCCTCTTCTGGCCTTTGCAGGTACCTGCACATACATAGCACTGAGGCACGTGCACACACGCTAAAGAAATAAAAATAAGTCCGTGTTAAGTGATTGACATAAAGAAACTTTGGTGGCAACTACTGTGGTATGCAGGAGATGATGACAGATTTGACAAGAACTAGACGTTAGAACAAAAAAGAGAGAACAGGAAAGAGACGTCTCGGAAGTCACATTAGGGAAACTTACCATCTGGTAAGGAGAAAAAAAGAGTAAAGGATGGCTCTGAGTTGGGTGCCTGGGGTGCCATGGGTGGAGTCAAATAGGTCACAGGAGCAAGGCTTACAGGACAGTAATGGAGGTCAGCTTTCGGTGAATTAAGCCTGCCTGTGAGGCACTTAGGTAGATATCCTCTGGAAACGGCTCTGGAGAAAGGAGATTAGGGTGTCCTCAGCAACAGCGTAGTCATTGAAGCTAGGGTCTGGCTGAAAACAACACAGTGAGTTAGAGAGGCAATATCTAAAAATTGATTGAAGATTTGTGTGAGCTGTGGCACTGTTCCAACCTCTGATATCCGCATCGTTTGCTGCTGTTTGATCTTTTAAGGGGAGGGTAGCTGCTGAGGTGGTGAGGAAAGCAAGAAAAAATGGGCTGTGGCTTAAAAAAAAAAAAAAAACCTGGATTGATAGAAAAAATTGTATTGTGGGAGTTTGCTTTTAATTTAGGGAATGTAGATGTCTTTAAAGGGAAGGAACCACTTGAAAAAGACTTTAAGGGTATCTGAATGGTGTCTAAGAAAGACTCAAAGCAATCGGTGGTTCAGAGTGCTCAGGAATTTGACTTCTGAGTCAGGAGAACAGATGATGCAGATGTTTTGAAATGGAGTAGTGTTGGAAGAGTTCTTTTCAGATAATATGATCTGCTGAGACAGGGGATGTTTGGGGCTTGATAGGCATGGAAAAGATTAAATCTAAAATGTAAGGAATTTTAACAAGGTCGGCAGGTAGCTGGAAGCTTCAGATGAAGTCAGTTCATGTATAAACCTAACATCTTCGTTTAGTAAGTTTTACTGCTGATTCCTTTGTACAAAAGCATATCACCGCCACAGCCACTCTGGCGAGCATGTTAGACGGTGTTATTCAGATCTTAGGGTCATCTCATGATACAGATACTGTCGTCTCCATTCTTGACAGATGTAGTCAAGCTTGCCTAAGCCTACACAGCCAGAGGTGCTAAGATACAATGCCAGTCTCCTCCGCCCTGAGCTCTCGCTCTGCTGCCTGCTGTAAATGCTTTAGAGGAGGTAGAACAGACACTTCTAATGAAGCAAGGCTTCTGGCTTCTCTAATTAAGCTTTTCCTCTCCTTAGTTGACATTGTCATTATGTTAGGTTTGCCTTAACATTTTCTGTGTAGTGATCTGGATAGTCACTTCAATACTTCACACAAGTGCAAGTTGAGGAAGATCTCATGTACGATGTGGGACCTCATCCAACCCTTAAAAAATAGGTCAGACTAAGGAAGGCCTTTTGGTTTTTTGGTTTGATGTTTTTGGTTTTTTCCTTTCTTCAGCTGTTTCATATATTCTGTTTCCCACCAGTCACCCCATTTTTTTCTAATCCTAAATGATCTAATCCTAATGATCCTAAATAATCCTAAGTAGATGCAAGCATCTACTAGCAGACAGAAATCTCTTCTCTTCTCTGTTTTGTGATAGCTGCCTGTTCTTACTGCTGGTAAGTCATCTATCCTCTACTAACCACTCCTCTGCCTTTCCCCTTCCTCCTCCTCTTTCTCCTCACCCCTCCCTAGCGTATCTGTGAGGTGTATAGTCGGAACCCCGCCAGCCTGCTAGAAGAGCAAATCGAAGGTGCCCGGCGGCGAGTCACTCAGTTACAGCTGAAGATCCAGCAGGAGACTGGTGGCTCAGTGGTGAGTGAGTGGTAGTAGGCATTGCTCCAGGGACAGCACCATGCGGAGGGACCAGTATAGAAGGAGAAAGGCAGAGCAGAAGGCCTCTTGGGCCATGGCAGGATGAGCACCAAAGAAGCTGAGTCCTACTGCAGTGCTACCGGTGATACCATAGAAAGACACAGCCCTGTTTCATGCCCTGCTACTGAGAAGAAGAAATAGAAATCAACTAGTCTGCTTCCGTCTACTAATTACTCCTCCCTTCTGAGTAGTTTCCTCAAGAGTGTGTATTCCTACTCTGGCATCACTCAGCATCGTCTGGTAGCTTTCCTTTAAGGATCTCCTCAAAGGAACCCAAGTCTTTCCAAGTCAGCCTCCGTTAGTCAGTTGAGAAAGAGCCAAATGTACTTTTTAGAAAATGCCATACAGGAGGAGGTTGTTGATCTATTCTTCTCCTCGGGGACTTTACTATCTTGCTTATATCCATCAAGCCTCAGTTCTTTGGTAAGCATAAATACTGACATTAGGAAATTGTGGTATCCAAGACAGTAGTTTCCCTAACCCATAGAAATGGTTTAAGGTGGAGCTGGAGAGATGACTCGCAGTTAAGAGCACTACCTGTTCTTCCAGGGGACCCAACCCCTCCTCTGGCTTCATGGGCATAGCACACACATGGTACACCTACATGTGTGCATGCAGAATACCCGTACACATAAAATAAAAATAAATCAATCTTTTTAAAATATTTTTTGAAATTTGATTAAGGCATTTGGCTTTCTTTTTAAACTGTTCTGTTCTGAAGTTGGTAAGAACATAGGCAAATAAAACTTTAAAGATTCACGTTTCTGAAGGAACTTTCATATCATATGGTAGATGGCTTAGATTATGGACATAGACCATCTAGTTTTGATTGCCAGGTCTTGTTCCCCTCAGCTTTCAGACTCATGGCCAAGTAACCTAACCACTAAGAGCCTCTCTTCGTTTTCTCATTTATAGAAGGACACAACAATCCACCTAGTAAGATATTGCTGAACTGAAGCATGCCACCAGCACTGTGTGTGTGTGTGTGTGTGTGTGTGTGTGTGTGTGTGTGCGCGCGCGCGCGCGCGCGGGTGTGTGGGTGCTGCCACTGTTGGTGTCTGTGTAACAGGAACCTGAGATTCTGAGGTGAGAATCAGGACATTAGAGCTCTAGCCCTAGTTTTTTGTTTTGTTGTTTTCATTTAGAATGTGGCTTAGAAAGATCAGTAAACATCTGAGCTTCTTTCTGTCTCCTTGTTTGTATCATGGGAATAACCTCTTCTACCTGGAGTTGCTGAAAGATTGAATGCAGTTAAGGACTGAGCTCCATGCCAACACCAGTACTTCCCCACAGACATGGATTTTTTTTTTGGGGGGGGGGAGCTTTTTGAGACAGGGTTTCTCTGTGTAGCTTTGCGCCTTTCCTGGGACTCACTTGGTAGCCCAGGCTGGCCTCGAACTCACAGAGATCCGCCTGGCTCTGCCTCCCGAGTGCTGGGATTAAAGGCATGCACCACCACCGCCCAGCGACATGGATGGTTTTTAAACAAATCTTTTTATTATTTATTTTTATTTTATGTCCATTCGTGTTTTGCCATGAGTGTCCGGTCCCATGGAACTGGAGTTACAAACAGTTGTAAGCAGCCATGTGGGTGCTGGGAATTGAACCTAGGTCCTCCGGAAGAGCAGCCAGTGCTCTTAACCACTGAGCCATCTCTCTAGCCCTGACACAGATATTTAACATCTTTCCTCAGTGCAGGCTTGGGATTTTTTTTTTTTTTTATTCCTTGATGGTTAGAAAATCGTTTCCTGTATCCAGCCCAAATAAAGCCACTGAAGTCCAGGGTGAAAAGTGAAGGGAGGTTTTCGTTAATTCTTACAATGATGGTAAAGCTCCTTTCCACCATTAGGGGTCACCACCTCCTCAGGCTGCACATATAAAGCGGGGCATTTCCCAGCAGTAAAGCAGAAGTGGCCATGTGCTATAAAAGCAAGCACAGCTCTGACTGGAAGAAGGAAAGAGGAGAGGGGGAGGCTCGGAGACATTTCCCACCATCTGGTCTTCTCTTTTAGGACATTCTTCCACTCTACGGTGACACCAGCCAGAGAACATCTGAAGGTAAGTTCCCATCGTCCTCTGGTATATACGAGTTCTCTTCTGTGTTGGTCTCTCCCAATAGGGCAGATTCTAGAATAATGAGGAAAAAGCGATACCCATACACAGGGCAGTTGGATGTAGAGAAGTAAGCGATGGCTAGGTAAGAAACAGGAGCTCCTGGGGTGACAGGTCCAGACAGCAGCTTGCCTGACAGATGTGGCACTTGAGAGCTTAACAAATTCTTATGAAGAGGGCTGGTGACGGAAAGAGGGTTAGGAGTGAGCTGGAGACCAAGAGCGGCTGTAAGAGGACGCCAGGGTCTTATTTTAGGAGGTGACGGGTTCTGTGCCCAGATGCAGACGGAGGCCGAAGCTGGCTATGAGGAGAGTAAGAGAGGGCATCAGGAGCCTGCCGGTCCTGAGGTGAACGAGTGGAGGGCAGCTGATAGAGAAGGGAAGACGGCAGCTCCCCTTCCTGCCTGGTGCCCAGAATAAAGGCCTGAGGTCTTTTCTAAACCGTCTGAACTGGTTTCTTCTCAGGCCGCCTCTCTCTGGATTCCCAGGAGGCCGACAGTGGCTTGGACTCTGGGACAGAACGCTTTCCCTCTGTCAGTGAGGTGAGTGCCAGCAGGCACGGGCCCATTTAAAATGTGTGCATTCAGTTTCCCACCCCGGGGCGCGAGACGGCTCTGCTGCCCGCCGGCTGCTGAAGGCCCTGGCCCGTCATCTGGACACCTCCTCTGCAATTCCAGTTTTAGGGGTCTAGCCACTGTGCTCTGGTTCCGAAGGGCTCTGACATGCATCCTTATGCTGGATTATCACATCCGGCTTGTATTTTATCACAGGCGATTGGCTCTGTTGTGGCGTAAAGTGTAAGGTGAAGAGGTGGCCAGTGTTATCACTGGACTCATCTTTGAGAGCAAGTTAGTGAACCCCACCAAGTCAGGTGTGACGCTTACTTACTTTGCTGCACATCTTTTTCTACTTCAGCCATGAATTTTCAGATTTTTTTTTAATCTCCAAGGTTATCTCTCTTCCAGATGCTCTCAGTTGGCATATAAGATTATGAATATAAAAATGAGTGGCAGATGATGACAACAGTAAAATGTCTATTTAGCCGGACTTATTAAACATGGGAATAAGTGTTTTTAAAAAAAGCATACTCAAAATGTAATTTAGGTAACATTTGGAGTTTCCTTGTCTGAGCGCTGGTGACTGACTATTGGGGAGAGAATGATGGGTAGCTGAAAGAGAACAGATGTGTGGGAAAGTCACCAGAGAGTGGTGGGGTGTACTGTGGGCCTAGCTGACCTGTAGTTTGCATCCATGCAAGGTGATACATTTGGCAGTGAAGTGTGTGAACTGTGACCAAAACTTCCTGATTGAATATATACCACAAGCTCTTTGGCCTTCAGTGACTCTCGTGACCTTTCTGAGGCCTGGCTCCCTGGGAAAAGTGGGTTGAGTTTCCCTCATGAGCTGTCAGAAGGTTAGTGGAGTAATATATAATCAAAAATGTTGTGGCTGTCAGCGCGTTACCATTACAAAGCAAGCTGAGCCCAGAGTGTTGTCTGAACGAGGTTCCTATCACAGAATTCTCTTCCTCTAGTCTCTGATGAATCGGAACTCGGTATTGTCCGACCCTGGACTAGACAGCCCTCAGACCTCCCCTGTAGTCCTGGCGAGAGTGGCCCAGCACCACAGGCGACAGAGCTCAGATGCACCCGCGCTCCCACCGGACGACCAGGTGAGACAGGAACCACCCCAGTCTGTCTTTCTGCTGGAGGCTAGGGTTGTCACCAGTGTGTAATCTTGAAGAATCTGACTAAACTCTGCTCTGGCAACCCTCAAGGAGATAGTCACCTAGAACACAAATAGAAAAGAGGGAAGTTAAGTAGATCGGTTTCTGTGTGAAGAGTCAGTAGATGTGTCTGTCAGGACACTGAAGATAAGGGAAAGACTGCTGGTAGATCTTTTCATGTCTGGATAGAATAAAAAGTAGTGTCTGTTCAGAATGCTTCCCTTCCCTTAGCAAAACTTTGCTTCAGTCAAACTGAGGGCAAGGGGATGAATAACAGTGAAATACAGTGATATAGCTGTATGAAAATGTCATAATGAAACCCATTTTGTATATTAAATAATAAACCTTATTACTGGAATCCTAATACAGAAAACAAATAAAAGTTCAGCATGCTTGGGATCTTTCCTTGTTAAGCTGCCTTCCAAGCCCCGCCCTCAGGCTCCTCAAAGAGTGCAAAAAGTGACTTGAAAGGCCCTGCTCTCAAAGGTGGGACTAGGTCTGGGAATATTTCAGAAAGACGGATATTGGCTCAAGGCAAAATCCTTCAAAGAACCCGAGCTGTGTAGCCATGGGTGGGATTGCCTGTCATAGTACAGATAGATGCTAACAGACACTGGCTTCCTAAAACAGTATTCTGTAAAATTCACCACTGTACTAATGTTTTTCCAAATCCACATTCCAGTTGCATAGTGTTATTTTCCTTAATATATATTTTCTTCGAGCTTAATTTTTTATTTCTTTTGTTTGTTTGTTAGAGACAGTGGCTGTGTAGACCAGGCTGGTCTTAAATGCACAGAGATTTGCCTGCCCTTATCCTGGGGTGCTGGCATTAAAGGCATGTACCACAGTGCCAGGCTAAGCTTACTTTCTTAAATTCATTTTAAAGGATATTTGTCATTGCTTCAAATTAAAACCAGTATCACACACTGTAAATGCAAGGTAAGTGTAAGTAAGGCAGCACACATGTTTAGAAATTATTTTGTAAAGCCTTATCTAGAAACATACAGAATAAAGGAGAAAGAAAGCTGCCATTAATGTTAAAAGGATGCCTCCTTCATGAGCCATCTCCAGATGAATGCATGAGAAGCTGGTGGCTAGCACCTCCAGAGCCTCAGAACAGAAGAGAGACGTCATTGATTTACCCTTTGTATCATTTCGGCTCCCAAATTATGTGACTGTATCATGAATTATAAAAATACATAAAATTCAGGGCTGGAAAGATAGTTCAGCAATTGAGAGCACTGGCTGTTCTTCCAGAAGATCCAAGTTAGGTTTTTCAGCATCCACATGACAGTTCACAACTGTCTTAGTTAGGATTACTATCACTGTGATGAAACACCATGACCAAAAGCAACTTGGGGAGGAAAGGGTTTATTTGTTTACACTTCCACATCACAGTTCATCAAAGGAAGTCAGGATAGGAACTCAAGCAGAGCAAGAACGTGAAGGTAGGAGCTGATGCAGAGGCTAAGGAGGCATGCTGCTTACTGGCTTGCTTGGCCTGCTTTCTTATACAAGCCAGAACCACCAGCCCAGGGACAGCACCTCCACAATGGCCTGGAACCTCCCTCATCAATCACTGGTTAAGAAAATGCCCAGCAGCTGGCTCTTCTGGAGGCATTTTCTCTCAGTTGAGGTTCCCTCCTTTGAGGTGGCTCTAGTGTGTTATCAAGTTGATATAAAACTAATCAGAACAACAACCATCTGTAACTCCAGCTCCAGAAGATCTCCCACCCTCTTCTGGCCTCCACAGTCACTGCATGCATGAGTATATAGACATACATGCACGCAAAACACCTGTACACATAAAATAAAAATAAAGAAATTAATAAAAACACATAAAATTTATTTATTTAAATTTAACCTAAAATATTTTAATAATAACAAAATTTATCTATTTAAATTTATTATCTATGCATAAATTTTATATATTATCATATTTTCACTCTAGCTAGATTCTTTTGCTTGTTATTAAGTCTGAGGTGGAATTTCCCTTTGTAAAGATATAAAGATAGACTAACAGCAGGCTGAAGCTTTATTTGGATTAATCAAAGGGATTGAATGGGAACTGAAATTAACTCTCTTACACTTTTTTTTTTTTTTTTTTTTTTTTTTTTTTTTGGTTTTTCGAGACAGGGTTTCTCTGTGTGGCGTTGCGCCTTTCCTGGAGCTCACTTGGTAGACCAGGCAGGCTGGCCTCGAACTCACAGAGATCCACCTGGCTCTGCCTCCCGAGTGCTGGGATTAAAGGCGTGCGCCACCACCGCCCGGCAACTCTCTTACACTTTGACTACTGTTTAATGTCATGTCTAGGTACCACCTAAAATTGTTCCAGGCTCACCAAATATCACTTCACCTGAAATCACCCAATCAACCAGTGATAAATTTCTTACCCTGGAAGGCATTGGTGTGAGAAGTTCAGAGGTGTTATATCCAAACTATCACTTTTTGATGAATCATTTTAGCAGTAGTAAAGGTCAAGAACAGTGTTTATTGTAATGAGGTAGAATCTATTAGTATTTAATTGATTTTTTTCATTATAAAAAGAAATTTTATAATGTAAGCTGGGCATGGTGGTGCACAGCTTTAATTCCAGCACTTGGGAGGCAGAAGCCGGTGGATCTCTGTAAATTCAAGGCCAGCCTGGTCTACAGAGTGAGTTTCAGGACAGCCAGAGCTATGTAGGGAGACCCTGTCTCAAAAGGGGGTGGGGGGGAGAAAGGAAGGCTGTATAATAGGAGGGTTTTTGTTTTGCTTTAAAGATTTTGTTTATTTATGTGTATGAGTATTTTGCCTGGGTGTATGTCTGTACCACATACATACTTAGAGGCCAGAAGAAGGCATCAAATCCCTTCGAACTAGAGTTACACATACGCATAAGTAAAAATAAAATAAAATCTAAGTGAAAAAAGTACCTAAAGTATACAAATACTGTAAAAAAAAAAAACTAAGAGAAACTTTAAAAAACAGCAAGAAATCAAAAACTCAGTTAATAAATGGGCTAATGAAGTGAAGAAACAGTTCGCAAAATATGGGATACAGCCGGGTGGTGGTGGTGCACGCCTTTAATCCCAGCATTCAAGAGGCAGAGGCAGGTGGATCTCTGTGAGTTTGAGGCCAGCCTGGTCTACAGAGTGAGTTCCAGGACAAGCTCCAAAGCTACACAAAGAAACCTTGTCTTGAAAAACAAACAAACACACACACACACACACACACACACACACACACACACACACACACACACACACACACATATGGAATACAAATGGTCAATAAACTTGAAAAGATATTCAACTTCACTAACCATCAGGGAATGTAAGATGTTGAGATCCATCTTACCCCATACAGAATGGCAATCATTAAGAAAACAGGTAACAGGGTGGTGAAGATGTAGACTAAAGGGAACCTTTATATATTGCTGGTGGTAGTATAAACTAGTCCTGGCCACTGTAGAAGTCAATATGAAGATTTCTGAAAAACTAAAAATAGGTCTTCTGTGTGACTGTCGTGTGACACTATTTCTGGGGCAACCTGAACAAACATCTGCTTACCCCAGATAGAGAACAGACGGCAGACTAAAGTATGGATACCACCAAAGTTTAACTGGGTGAACTTGAGTTTTTATTGGTGTTACTTATGGGAGTATGGGTGAAGAGTTAGTTACAGGAGCAGAAATATTCAAAGATAGAGGCATCATCAAAAGTCCACCCTAGCATGAAAGCTGGAAACCTAGAGTATAACTTACAGTCCACTTGACAAGAGTGTCTCTTCCAGGCCTGAGGGTATTTCTCAGCAGTCTGTTTTTATATGCCTGGGGAAGGAGTGGCCTGGTGCATTTGGTCAGTCCCAGGAATTTCCTGAAGCTTCTGAGCTGTTTACTTCCTGAGTCATAAGGAGCTTCCTGCAGGATGGACTGTTTGATCTTAGAGAAAATTGCTTTATAACGAATGATGGTCTGTACCACTCCAGATTACAGACACTTGCATGTCCATTTTTACAGCAGCACAGTTCACAGTAGCTGAGTTATGGAACCAGCCTTGGTGTTGAGCAACAGAGGAATAAAGGAAATGTAGTGCATGTACACTGTGGAATTTTTCAGTCAAAATGAAGAACCAACTCTTTTCATTTGCATAAAAATTGATGCAAATGGAGCTAATTATAAGAATAAAACCAAATTAAAAGAGACAAATAGCGTATGTTTTTGTTCACCTGCTATTTTTTGGCTTTCTGTAGATATAGAAAATCATGTATTGTGTCTGTGACATGACCGTCCCCAGAGACAAAGGGGACCAATAGGAGGAAGAGGCACAGGGGAAAGCATGGAGCAGGGGAGTATGCTGGATATCCAATAGATACTTGTACAAACACTTCCTTTAAATAAATTTATTTCTAAAAAGTCTCCCCGAGCAAGCTAAAATCTGGTCTTGTTGGTGCTTCTGCCAGAGCCTAGGGATCTAGATAGCATGGGCTTCAGAGACCGGGTGATACAAGGCTGGAGGGTCTTGGACGTGTGAGAGGCTTCAGGGCCTCCCTCTTCCAGTACATTCAGGGTCTTTCAGTCATTCTGGGGTTAGAGGTAGGTGGCTGTCCAGAAAAACAAGGTCAAGGAAAGTGTTAGGGAGAGCTCCTTGAGAAAAAACACGAGTAGAGTAGGTGGTTCCAGAGCAGAGCCTTCTTAGAGAATCACTAAAGATGGGGCAGTGCAGTCAGGAGAAAAACAGTGATGATCCCAGCATTTGGGTGGCAGAGGCAAGAGGACCTTGTGAATTGGAGGCCAGCCTGGTCTACAGAGTGAGTTCCAGGACAGCCAGGGCTACGTAGTGAGACCCTGTCTCCAAAACAAAAAAACACATTTGGTAACTCGGAACCTTTAGAACAATCTGATGTATAAAGCACTTGAAAAGTTCATGTAGTATGAAGTCTCTTGGAGTCATTACTGGTATGTCAGTTAGGATTGGTATTTTATTAAAATTCATGGAAAAAGAAAAGCTGGGGTGAAGGGTTTGTGTTTTAACAGGGAATAAGGATCTACCACAGACTGTTAAGCAGACAAAGGAAACAATGCATGTTAGTTAGTGTCTGAGGAGGATCAGCCCCGTCCTTCCTCACTGAGGGAGGGCAGATCTGCTGCCCTGATGTCTCTAGCAGTTACTACTCCGTATGCTTGCTTGTCCACACTGGTCGGCAGCGCTGTGGTGGTTGCAGGATGAGATCTGGAGAGTGTCTTTAGGGAGAACGGTGGGGATTTGGTCTGTTTAGGAAACCACAAGTCTCCAGCCCAGTGGTCCATTAGGTGCTGTCAGCTAGCTGTTTGTTAAAGGACACTTGTTCCTCATCGCCTGCAAACAGAAAGAACCTTTTCCTGTTGCCCATCCTCCTGTGTCATGTGACCAAGCAGTTCTGTGTGCTGTGCCCCACCCAGAAGCGGTTGTCTTTCTGCAAGTGGAAATGGATACATCTGTGCGAACCTGGAGGTGCCGGGTAGACCCGAATGGCCTCTCTAGAGCTAGGCTCCTAAAGAGATGCCACTGAGGGAGTTGAATCCATGGCTTCTGTAATTTCTCATCTCTACGTCTCAACTCTCTCTCTCCTTCAGGGTGTAGATCAAAGCCCAAAGCCTCTGATTATTGGCCCAGAGGAAGATTATGACCCTGGTTATTTCAACAATGAGGTAACAGTTTTCTGGTTTACTCCTTTTATCTTCCTCCCTTGCTGGCCTACACTGCCCTTGACTGGAAGCAGTTTGATTGGCACCAGCTATGAAATGACCCTATGGGAAAGGAGGCTCAGCTAACAGAGCCCAGAAAGTAGAGAGTGTGAGAATAAAGTTGGCTTTCTGTCCCCTACCTCTGTGCCTCCTAGCCATTCTCAAGTTTTCTGCCTTCCAGAGCGACATCATCTTCCAAGATCTTGAGAAACTGAAGTCACATCCAGCTCACTTGGCAGTTTTTCTGCGTTACATCTTCTCTCAGGCAGACCCTGGTCCACTGGTGAGTCACAAGTGTCAGTCTTGTTTGAGTGCCTGCTTGTGACAGCAGAGAGAATCTCCGACCACTGTGTCTGAGCTTTCTATGTATCTAGTTTTTATGTCAGATCCATAGGCAAAGTCAGGCATCTCAAGGACAGACAAAACAGTAAGAAGATGACACCTGTTGTATCGTGTGGCTAGCCATTCCTGTGCCCTGAGGGATATCAAGAAGACCTAGGCCAGGAACACTGTCATTCTCCATCATTTTAGGAAGTCTTCAGAGTTTTTAAATGAAAGTAGATACAGACTGACTGAGGAGTTGAGAGAATCACCCTTGCAGATTTACAATGTGGCTATAAAGCATTTTAGCAGGACCAAAACACTAAAGAGTCTTCCATGTGAGGTGATGGCAAGAAGAAATACCAGCAGGGCTGGTGGCACCTTCCTTTAATCTCAGCACTCAGGAAAGAAAGGCAAGTGTTCTCCGAGTTCAAAGCCAGCCTAGTCTACAAATGGAGTTCCAGGCCAGGGCTGCCCAATAAGACCTTGTCTCAGGGGCGGAGGAAAGGCATTTGAGGAGATGGATGAAGTCCACGGTGCCCCAAGGTGATGCACAGAGCATCACTTACAGCCGCTCTCATTCCTCCTAGCTGCGTAGAAACAAGGGCTGATGGTGGAGGAAGGCTGGTGGTGTGTTCTCCAGAGTACATCTGTTGTCCAAGGAATGAGTTGCTGTTTTTTTTTTCTTTCTGGAAATACCACAATTAGAGTCCAGAATGAACATTGATTTGATCAAAGGGAATTCATTGAATACCTGTTTGTTAGTCCCAAATGCATGTTAGTCTCAGACTCATTCCTGAAAAAGACAAAGCACATCACCAAGAGAAACAAAACAAAAGCCCTTCAGGAACAATATATAAACAAGTGAAGACACCACTAACAATGTCAAGTGTGGAAGGAGACAGAGTAGAGGAGTGATCGACCTGAAACATGCTCATGGGCAGGAAACTGAAATTGTTTAGGTTTTCAACCTCAACATTGTTGACAGTTTAGACTGGAGAATTCTTTGTTGTAGGAGCTGATCTTAATTTGGGGATATTTAGCCACTTACTGGATCTACCCCTAGATGACAGTAGGAACCACTCCCTAGTAAATTCAGCAACTCAGAATGTCTTGAGACATTACCAGACATCATCCAGGTAACGTCAGCCTGATGAAGATCCACTGCTCTAACCCAGTTTCTCTGTCGTTCCAGCTTTTTTATTTGTGTTCAGAAGTTTATCAACAGACAAATTCCAAAGATTTCCAAAGAAATTTGGGGAAAGACATCTGGAGTATTTTCCTAGCAAAAACTGCGGTAAGGCTGTCATGGGTTGGATTACAATTCCATACTCTGCATCACAAGCAGAGGGAAAACCAAACAAAATATTCAGGCCAAGTAGAGACAGGTTGTTTTGTTTTAACAAAAATGTGTCTCTTGGGCTGGTTCCCACTCATCTTGAACCAGGTGTGTCCAGTGCTACTTCCTCCTGGAAAAGCATCCTTATGTCAGCCTTGCTTTTCCTCCTATAGGCTGACAGGACCCTGGGGCAGCCAACACACAAGACTATTTGTGCATGGCCTAAGACCACGGGGATTTGATAGCATCCTGGGCATTTCCCATCCATAAAGTAGGAATCGGGGCTCTGCACCAGGTGCTTTTTCCTCTCCTCCTCTTCTGGAGAGGGATGAGGGAGATCTTTTGCAAGAGGCATGTTCTCGTAGGGAGGTCGTCACCACCAGAAAGCTAGAGACAGGTTTTTTTAAAGACCTTTGCTCTCTAAGAAATTAAGATTCCTGTATTCTGGTCCTACCTCTCAAAGTTCTACTTCCACCAGGGCTGGAGAGGGCTCAAGGGCTAAGAGCACATGTTGCTCTTCCAGGGGACCCAGGTTTGATTCCCAACACCCACATGGGAGTTCACAGACATCTGTAACTCCAGATCCAGGGGATATGACCCCCTCTTCTGGCCTCCACAGGCACTAGCCACCCACATGTTGCACAGACATACACACAGGCAAACTCCCAAACACATAAAATAAAATATTTTTTTTAATTTAAAGGATTTCTCTCCTCTGTATGTCTCTTTATTTCCACATATAGAATGTACACTACCTTTCTTCACAATATGTAGAGATAGAACAGTGGTTCTCAACCTGTGGGTCTTTCGACCCTTTCACAGAGGTCACCTAAGACCATCGGAAAACACAGATATTTACATTACGATACATAACGGTAGCAAAATTACAGTTGTGAAGTAGTAACAAAAATAACTTTATGGTTGGGGGTCCCCACGGCATAAGGAACTGTATTGAAGGGTCGCAGTGAGGAAGGTTGAGGACCACTGAGGTAGAGGGGTCTAACCTCTTTCCAAACCTTGTCTGCCTTTCCTTTCCTGGGTGAAGACACAGGCCCAGGAGCATCAGGTGATCTGGGTCAGTGGGGCAAGGAGAGTGCAAGTTTCTGAGATTCAGCCAGACTTGCTGTCATCCCCTAAAGAAGGAGTCGAGAGGGAGAGCTTGTAGTGTCTGGGAGGAATGAGCCTCCCTGCATCTGAACTGGCTTCTCAGGGAAGTATCAGGATCCCGCCTGGAACATCTGCCTGCAGATGACATTCATTATCTCAACTTTATAATCTGATCAACTAAAACTAATTCCAAAATGATTTTATTCTTCTTGCAGTTGGCTACTATGGCTAATGCGGTTAGGGAAATTTGGTTTTTCTTGGTGTTTTGCATTTATGCCTTCAGTGGGTCTTGAGGAAGGAGGTTAAAGTGCCAAGTACTCTCTGCCATCATTTACAAAACCGCATCAACATCCAGCCACATGGCAAGAGATTTAAGGGCACATCCAGGACTAGGTGACACAGGACTAGGTGACACAGCCAGGCAGTGGTGGCGCACACCTTTAATCCCAGCACTAGGATGGTTGAGACAGGAAGTGATTTGGCTAGGCAGAAAAAGGAATATAAGGCGGGAGGAGACAGGAGCTCACTCTCTTACAGAGGTTCTGTCAGGCTGAGGAGCTGGTGAGGTAGGAGGTGGTGGCTGTGACTTGCTCTGCTTCTCTGATCTTTCAGCTTTCACCCTGCTATCTGGCTCCGGGTTTTTATTATAAGACCGATTAGGATTCGTGCAACAAGAGGGGAAGGGTAGGTGTACAAGAGAGCAGATAGCATCACCAGGTCCTGTGTACCTGTCTAGCTGCTTGGTGCTTGCAACCTCATTACTTCTGCCCCCACTCTTTGTTTTATAGCCTCTCAGAGTGAAGATCCCTGAGATGTTGCAGGCCGAAATCGGTAAGTTGACTCATGGGTCAGGTTGCCTTTTTTAGTGCCCTTCTTATACTGAACTCTCGGGAGACACCAGAGACAAAGAGACAGAGTCCCTGTCCCTGGGTAACTGTCCTGTACTAGGGGGCAGAATGCAGAAATGGTTACTCCAAAACACTTCACACTTAGAACAGGCATGATTAGACACCACCCTAGAGCTCACTCTGCCCTGTCACAGGAGGATATTGGATAGGCATTAGGAGACCTGAGCTCATTTCTGCCAGCTTTCCATGGGACCTCTGGGCCTTACCTTGTAGGCTCACTTGTATGAAGAAGAAATTAAACTTAACCAAGGATTTCTAAGCAAGGACAGATTGATAAAGGTAACTTGTAAAATTACAGAGACCAAGCCTTACTCCATCCTACCTGCTAAGTCAGAAGCTCTGGAATATTGTTTTGAGTGGTGGTCGGGTTTTAGTTTGCTAAGTTCCATAACAGTACAGATAACAGGAGTACCAGAGTCGGAGTGGGGCCCAAGGACTGGATGACAATGCTGTTCCTTCCAATTCCAGAATAAGTGAGGAAGTGTAAAGAAGATAGCAGCTTGGGGCTGAGGATGCAGCTCAGTTGGTAGAATGCTTGCCTAACATGCACTAAACCCTGGGTTTGAATCCCAGTACCCCGTAAACCAGGTATAGTGGCAAACCTCTGTAATCCAAGTATTCAGGAGGTAGAGACAGGAAGATCAGAAGTTCAAGTTCATTCTTAGCTACACAGCACATTTCCAAGGCCAGTCCGGGATATATGAGACTCTGTCTCAAAAAAGAACACCTTAAGAAGTTAGGCACAGGTAGTGTTTTATAAGCTGGAACTGGGAGTCCGCATTTGAAAAGAAACAGTTAATGGCAAAGTCACAGGGAAGACAACCTACATGTACACACAAAGCAGCTTGCTCAAAAACAGGCTGAGAGGCCCAGCATGGTGGCACATGCCTTTATTCTCAGCACTCAGAAGGCAGCAGTCAGAGCTCTGTGAATTCGAGGCCTGGTCTACATAGTCCCAGGACAGCCAGGATTATGTAGTGAGACCCTGTCTTTTGAGAGAGAGAGAGAGAGAGAGAGAGAGAGAGAGAGAGAGAGAGAGAGAGAGAGAGAGAGAACACACACGAACGAGGTTGCCGTTTCCAAGGCCTTGGCCCAGCTTGCACGATGCTAGATGGCAGAACAGGACGGGCACCCCTCTTGGTTCCATGAAGTGTGAGAGGCTTCTGGTTTTTTTTTTTGGTTTTTCGAGACAGGGTTTCTCTGTGTAGCTTTGCGCCTTTCCTGGGACTCACTTGGTAGCCCAGGCTGGCCTCGAACTCACAGAGATCCGCCTGGCTCTGCCTCCCGAGTGCTGGGATTAAAGGCGTGCGCCACCACCGCCCGGCCGGCTTCTGGTTTTTTAGGCCTTTGAAATGGTGTCAAGGCAGTAGGAAGAATAAGTCTATAAGAAGACTGCTTGGTGATGTCAGCAGACATTTACCCAATGAGAAGGGGCTTCCGTATTTCCTCTCATGAAGCATTAGATATCCAGAGAATAATTTTGTCCTTGACTTTGATAGGACCAGAAGAATGATTCAGTCTTAAGCCTGACAACTTAAGTTCACTTCCTGGAATCCACATAAAGGTGAGAGGGGAGAACCAACTCTACAGAGTTGTCCTCTGACCTCCACATGCACACCACAGCACATGCAATAATAAGTGAGACATGTTTTTAATTAACTAAGAAAGAAGACATTGTCTGGGTGGAATGCAGGCCTCCACTGCTTTCAGACTAATGGGCCAAAAAGCCAGTTTTTCCGCGCAGCCTCACAGGATGCAAACACCACTTAAGGTGCTCAGAAGTTATCTCCTCCTCCCCCAACCTCACCTATTCTGCCTTCCCTGCCCTCCCACTACAGACCTGCGCCTGCGGAATGGCGAGGAGCCTCGAAGTGTTCTCTGTGAAGCTCAGGAGGCAGTCATGCTGGAGATCCAGGAACAGATCAATGACTATAGGTTTGCAGAGCCCCTCAGTGTTCTCTGCGCCTCTGGAGTGTGTGTCTGACTTTCCCTTTCTGTGTACACACGTGTTCAGTATAACATGTGTTTCCCTGTTGTATCTCCGGTGTAGATCAAAGCGCACTCTGGGGCTGGGCAGCCTCTATGGTGAAAATGACCTACTGGACCTGGATGGGGACCCTCTTCGAGAACGCCAAATGGCTGAGAAGCAACTGGCTGCCCTTGGAGATATCTTGTGAGTATCCGATTTCACTGATACCTCTGAACTTCCCAGACAGGTTGGCAGATCTTGTAGGACTGTTTTCTACTTCCCTCTACATCTTGCATGATCTCTTTCACCAGAAGGCAGGAGATCCTGCTGCATTTCTTGTGCTGAGGGCCCCACTCTCATTCCTAGAGCTCTGACAGTTCACTGGTGGTTGTGACAACACAAGGTTCCAAGAATACAGTGAGCTTTCTGCTTCCCCTTCTAGCCCTGTTATGATCTTCCTCCTTCTTAGCCTCTGAGTTCATGGCTAATACTCAGATGAGACTGCAGCCTGCCAGTGGAGGGAAGTGTCTTCAGGAGTGGTCAGGACTGGCTTCAGGAAAGCGGCCAGTTTTTCACAAGCACAGCAGAAATCTAGAGCACCTTCCTGGGAGCTTCGGCACAGCTCCTCCTGCTGTGCTGTTTTCTGTTTGTTTTTCATTTGATTTCATGGATGTGAGTGTTTCGCCTGCATGTATGTCTGTGCATCATGTGCATGCAGTACCTACAAAGGCCATAAAAGGGTGTCAGATCCCCTGTAGCTACAGTTACAGACAGTTATAAGCTACCATCTGTGTGCTGGGAATCAACTCAGGTCCTCCAGAAGAGCCGCCAGTGGTCTTAACCACTGAGCCATCTCCCCAGCCCCTCGAGTCCCGTTTTCTAAAGCATGTGTTGAATCCCAGGGCAGGATTGATGACTGAACTTCTGAGCCTAGACAGCTTTTCTTCCCGGTATTGTCTCCTGCTCAGGAGTGACCCTAGTCAATCTGTTCTGTCTCTCTGGGCCTCACGTACTAAATGACAAAAGTTAGCCTGAGTGACCTTGGTAGTGTCAATAACATGAGCCTTTCCGTTTGGCAAGTATCGTACGTGTGTCCACTGCGCCAGACACTTGTGCATGCGGCATCTAGTGGACAAAGTGGCCATTTCCTTCGTGGGGATTATGTAATGATGGAAGGAGACGGCACTATGTGAGAAGTGAATGGACTGGCAGTGTGTGCGAGATGCCACTGCGGAGGAAACAGAACAGGATACAGATAGCTGGAGTACCGGAGTTTTAAGTAGGCCAGCCCAGGGGAGCTACCTGGGAAAGAGAGACTGACCAAATCACCCTTGACATCTGGGAAAGAGCATGGCAGAGAGAAGATGTCGGGTAGAATGTACTCAACATTGAGGAACAGTAAGGGGAGCAGTAGAAAGAGCAGAGAGAAAAGTAAGTGATGGAGCCAGGTCACGGGAGAGGCAGCGCGGTAGGGAAGCAAGTGAGGAGCTGTTGGAGCTGCAGGAGGCTGCACTGTGGGTACAAGAGACGGGAAGCCGAGAAGTTCAGTTGCAAGGCTCCTCCTAGAAATCCCTACAAATGATAGTAAAGCAGCAGTCATGAACGTTGTGATAGCTCTTGGTGGAGTTGAGGAACAGAACCAAAGAGAACTTTCTAAAACTTGAGTGTGGGGTATGGAAGAAAAGTCAAAGGAGAGATTCCAGGGATTTCTTACCAAAGCACTAAAAAGACCATCGGTCACTCTAGGTGCAGTTGATAACACAGGGAGCAGTTTGGGACGTGTTAAGTCTGAGGTCTCTCTGACATGTCAAACTACAGTTCTGAAGACACAGCTGCTTGTGTGACTCTGTCACGTGGTGACAGAGCTGGGCTAGCGGGGGCTAGGATTACAGCTCAGTGATGGAGCAGTTGCCTAACAAGCACAAGACCCTGGGTTCCATCTCACTAAAGAATAAAAACAGCTGAGCCTGGTGGCACACGCCTATAAACCCAGCTGTTTTGAGAGGCTGAGGTACCAGGCAGTGGTGGTGCACACCTTTAATCCCAGCACTTGGAAGTCAGAGGCAGGTGGATCTCTGAGTTCTAGAACAGCCAGGGCTACGTACACAAAGAAACTCTGTCTTGAAAAAAACCAAAAAGGAAGTGGGGGCTGAGACAAAATTCAAGGCTTCCCTGAACTACTGAGAGGTTCAAAGCCAAACTTTGTAGGATCAAGATATATAATAATAATAATAATAATAATAATAATAATAATAATAATAATAATAATAATAAAAATTAAAGGGAGGATATAAGGATATAGCTCAGAGGTAGAGTGATTGCCTAACATGTACAAGTCCTAGGTTCAACCCCTAGTACTAATGAATAATAAAGAAAGAGGAAAGAGGCGTGGAGAAGACGGGGAAGAAAGGATAGGAAATCTGGACTAGAAAGAAAGTCACACAGAAAGCATGGCCTTTGCAGTCCAGCCTCCTGGCCTTCAGTAGTGAGGTGGCATGAATTACTTCTGGGATGCAAGCAGTAGCTGACTGAGCCTGTTTGGAGAGTCTAGGGATCCAACTTACAGTAATTTCTATTTTAAAATAATGTAATTCTTTCTTACCAAATGGAAGTCTTGTGCATAATTTTTAAATTAAATGGGTTTGTATATAAATAGCTTATAAAAATGTCTGTCCCATAATAATACCCAAACATTGGTTGCTGCTGCCTAGATGAGGTCTCCAGGTTTCATCTTGTCCTTCTGATGACTTTGTACTTGACGCAGAGCCGAGGCTGGATTTGCTGTCCCCCTTTGTACTAGAAAGATACCACTGTCATTGTCATCATTGCCAGTTGAATCCTTGAGGAAGTAACTTCCACCTCCTGAGCGTCAAAGGCTCCAGAGCTATGACCTTGTGTCCCCTACCAGCTCCCCTCTTTCCTCCAGCCTCTGCCCAGAGAACAGCCTATCTCAAGGTCTGAGCCATCTGCTCTTTCATTACAGGTCCAAGTATGAGGACGACCGGAGGTGAGCAAATCCGTAGTGTGGTTCATTTGCAGCGTTCAAGGTGGGAAGAAGTGGGGCTGAGCTCCCCTGTGCCTTTTATTTCTGCTCCCCACAAGGAGGTTGTAACGTTCTAGGACATGAGTCTGGGCAGGGTCAGTCCCCAGGTAACTAGCCGTTAACATGCAGGACTGAGAAGGTCCAGATCCTTCACGCATAAGGAGTACTGCCTGGTATATGAGTCTGCTCCTTGGTGTGACAGGCTGGCCCTCAGGTCCTGGCTTCCCAGGCGTGCTTCTGTACATCTACCCACAATACCCCTGAGTCTCTCTTCCCACTTCTTTCCCTGAAGAGAGATTTCACCTCCCAAAGAAATAATGGTGTTAGAATCAGTCTGTGATGGTGGCTCCAGCAGAGAGGACAAGCATCTCCTTTATTTTTTTTAAAAATCTTACATATTGACCTTACTATTTTTTGTCAGCCTAAAATGTGTTTGCATTCCCCGCCTGCACACACTTTGTAAGGGAAGAGATGGGCCACGCAGCCCAAGTGGGAGTGTTGCTGTACTGGCTTCACAGAGCAGATAATCTGCCAAATGCATTGTGAGCACAGCACTCTGGGCAGTTTGATTTGTTTGCGGCAATTAGAGGTGCCGTGACTGCCCTTTCCTCTCTTTCTCCTTGTTCTCAGGATGGGGGCAGGCGAAGGCAGTATGCCCACTTCAGACCCCCATGTATGTGTCTGAGGGTGTTGGCTACAGACTTAACCTGTCCTCCAGGCCTTAGATTTTAGGGACTTTGTATTCCCATCCCCTGACCATCATCCCTTCAGGGGGAGAGAGTACTGCTTAGATTGCTCGTGGGAGCAATGAAGAGCTTTTGGCCAGCTTCTAACTGCTGTCACATTTGGCCATCCAGACTTCACTTTGAATATGTTAGCTCATAAGTACCCCTTTCCTTCTCCAAGAGATGGCTGTGAGGAGATTGTCCTGAGCTGGGTTTTGATCCTTCAACCTTCTATTAAGAAACATGACTTGACCTGATTCACGACACTCCTGTCTTGCAGTGTTCCCATGGACTTTGCCCTTAATACCTACATGGGCCATGCTGGGATCCGTCTTCCAGAGTGGAGACCCATCAGCACAGCAGAAAAGGCCCAGTCTGCTCCTGACAAGGACAAGTGGCTGCCCTTCTTCCCTAAGACCAAGAAGGTAACAGAGCCGCCCTAGAACACAGCTGACTTGGAGCAGTCCTCCGTGCTGAGTAGACCAGGAAAGTAGACCATTTCACAGCTTTCCCGCTACACCCCCCTCCTTTCTCTAAACCCGACCATAGGTGGAGCAAGTCCATTAGGATAGAAACCCGAGTCAGCTTTCCAGTTATTTGTTTAGGGCCGGTCTTGAACAGGGCAAGAGTGATTAGCAGTCGTATCTGAGTGTTGGAACCACCTCCAAACTGGTGTCTCCTGTCTCAGCAGAGCAGCAATGCCAAGAAAGAAAAGGACGCCTTGGAGGACAAGAAGCGGAACCCCATCCTCAGATACATTGGGAAGCCCAAAAGCTCTTCTCAGAGCAGTGAGTATTCTGGAGAGCAAAAGCCTTGGCCATCCTTTGGTAGAGAACTCAGCTCTTCGCCTACACAGGAAGTGGAGGAGGGGCTTGCTGTGTTTCTGAGAGCTAAGGCCTCAGTCACCCCTGGAGACTGTGGCTTCCTCTTAGTACTGCTGCTTTCCCCCCCTTGCCACATCTAGTGCAGTCTCAGTGAGGGAAGGTGAGTGTGCGGAGCCAGAGGGCCCGAGCTTGCCCTTGGGTCTCAGTCCGGGAACTCGGAAGCAACTGTAGCTACTGAAGAGCTCTATGGAAGAACGTCTGCCTTGGAAAGACTGCCCCGTGATCTGTAGTTCCCGGTCTCATCCCTGGGGTTCTGTGATTCTTGTGTTTTGGGCCCTTGACGAGGGGCTTGAGTGACTGTTAAGTAGAACGGGCTGGGGTGGGCCAGCTCCATGATGCCATCGGTAACTAAAGCACTGGACCCCGTTGGTTTCTCATCAGCCGCGTATCAGATGTTTAGAACTGTCAGTGTTGTCAGCCTGAGCTTCCGTGGGCATCTGTGTAGTGCTTTTGGCCAGCACTGAACTCAGTGGCATTGGGGCAGCGAGGAAGAAGGGACTCTTCCAGATCTGTTTCGGGTTTTGTTACTACCTTTTCATTTTCTAGCTTGATACAGTTTTTATTTTGACTCTTGCAACATTACATTGACTTTTCATGGTTTACTTTTGTTTTTCTTTTAGCATTTCATATCCCCTTGTCCTCTGTGGAAGGTAAAAGGACCATTTTCTTCGGGTTTATCTGCTCATTAGCATCAATTTTCCACCTCAGAAGTCTTGCTGTCCCTTTTCCATCTGGTCCTCTCCGGTCCCTCCTTCCTCCCTCCTTTTCTTCTCTTCATCTCTTGCGTGTTCCTCCTTTCTGCTACAGCTCCTCTGTGGCACAGACCGCTGGCATCTCTTCTTCCCTGTGGTGGCTGCCAGACCTTTTACCTTATTTGGTTTCTTCTGGGTGGGAACCCCCTCCCCCAGGTGGGGTTCCCTTGAGTTCTGGCAGAGACCAGCCTTGTCGGCCGCAGCTTCCCCTGGCCTAGCCTTTGCCCTTTAAGGTGTGTTAGCTTGTTGTCTCCGTAACAAAGTATCTGAGATAAACAACTTAAAAAGAGGAAGTTTTTGTCTAGGCTATTAGTTTCCAGAGTTTCAGTCCATAATCCAGGCCCTATTGCTTTGTGGTATGGTTTTAAAAAAAAAAAAAAAAAAATGCATTGTGGCTAGACAGCACACCTGTAATCCCAGCACTCAGTGCAGAGGCAGGCGGATCTCCGTGAGTTCAAGGCCAGCCAGAGCAACCCTCTCTAGAAAAACAAAAC